CTCTGTTCCTATGATGCTGCTTGGCCTGCTGTGTTCATCCAGCCCTGCACCTTGTTGTCTCGCATTATCCTCATCAACCCTCTCTGTCAACTCCAACAAGTTAGTTAAAGAGATTTTGCCCTTAATAAACATGGGTTTTCTAGTAAACCTGTATTTGCCCAAGTAACTATTACTTTTGTCCCACATCATCATTTCTAGAAGTTCCCACTCTTTTAAATTGCCTAACTTGTAGTTATTAAGTTTATTTTTGCATACATGTTTGAACAAAGGTGTAACATTTGCAATTCCCAGGCCTGTGGCACTGCCCTTAAGTTTAAGGAAAATTGGAAAATTATGACCAATATCTCCACAATTTCCAGTCTTACTCCCTCAGCATCCTTTGATATACCTTATCTAATCCTTGTGGCTTGTCAGCTTTAAGTACAGAGTATTCAACATCTCCTCATTATCAATTTTAAATCTTTTAAATGTCTGAACTTCTTTCTTTTTCAACATGATATACGAAGTAGCTTCTTCTTTCATAAAAATGGTTTTAAAGAAATTATCTGATTCCTCAGCCATGCCCCTTGCATAAATCACCTTTTAGCCTCTAATCAGCTCCACTTCTTTTATTACCCTTTTCCTATTTATTTGCCTGTGGAAGACTTTGGATTCCTTTTTACGTTAGCTGCCAATATTTTATAGAGTCATAGCAGCATGGTAACAGACACTTCGGTCCAGCTTGTCTGCGCCGACCAGATATCATAAAACAATCTCATCCCATTTGCCAGCATTTGGCCCATATCACTCTAAACTCTTGCTTCTCATGTACCCATCTATATGCCTTTAAATGTTGTATTTGTACCCACCTCCACCACTTCAGACAGCGGTGTGCTGCTAGGATCAGTGCTGAGTCCACTGCTTTTTGTCATTTATATAAATGATTTGAATGTGAATATAGGAGGTATGGTTAGCAAGTTTGCAGATAACGCCAGAATTGGTGGTGTAGTGGACAGCAAAGAAAGTTACCTCCGAGTACAATGGGACCTTGATCAGATGGGCAAATGGACCAAGGATAGGTGTGTGGTGCTCATTTTAGTAGGGCAAATCAGGGCAGGACTTATGCATTCAATGGTAAGGTCCTGGGGTGTGTTGCTGAACAAAGAGACCTTAGGAGGCAAGTTCACAGTTCCTTGAAAACGGAGTCGCAGGTAGACAGGGTAGTGAAGAAGGCATTTGGTGTGCTTGCCTTTATTGGTCAGTGAATTGGATATAAGAATTGGGAGGTCATGTTGTGGCTGTATAGGACATTGGTTAGCCCACTTTTGGAATACTGCATGCATTCTGGTCTTCCGGCTTTCGGAAAAATAT